AGATACACGTCACCGCAAGCAGACATTTTTATAGATACCCATCACCATTAGTATATATTTTTTATAGATATATATCACCTTGGGCAGACATTTTAACAGATACACATCACTATTGGTTACATTTAAAAAAAAATAGATTTACATCACCGCGGGTAGACATTTTTATAGATACACATCCCCATTGGTATATTTTTATTATAGATATACATTCCCATTGGTACATATTTTTATAGATATATATCACCTTGGGCAGATATTTTTAAAGATACACATCACTAATGGTACATATTTTTTATAGTTATACATGTGGGCAGACATTTTTATAGATACACATCATCATTGGTACATATTTTTATAGATATGTATCACGTTGGGCAGACATTTTTATAGATACACATCATCATTGGTACATATTTTTATAGATATGTATCACGTTGGGCAGACATTTTTATAGATACACATCACCACTGGTACACATTTTTTATAGATATATATCACCTTGGGCAGACATTTTTATAGATACACATCACCATTGGTACATTTTTGTTATAGACTAGCTGTATCCGGCCACGCGTTGCTGTGGCATAGTTTGGCTAAATTAAAAAAATAAAAAAACAGAAATCGCAAGTGTCTAATATGGTTACTGTCGCAATCACTGTCTGCGCACATACAGAGATAGTCATCAATGCCCTTCCCCCCTCCCCCTTCCCAAACCCACCTAATACTCGCTCCCTCATTAAAGGCTTTTGGAAAAAAAGACAATAGAAATCGCACGTGTCTAATATAGTTAATGTCGCAATCATTCTCTGCATAAATATAGATATAGTCTGGTTTGCCACTTTAGAACACGCAACATATAATTGCGTCTTTATATTAGTGGTCGTTTAAGTGGTATTATTAGCACAGTAGAAAAAAAATGGTTATTTGGTTATCACATGCTAAAGCTGTATTTTCTTTTTCAGAGACGGAAGAAAAGCTTACTACTGTACTTGTAAATAACCAAGTAAGTAGTTTTAAAAAAAAAATGAGAATAGCGGAGGTAGCGTTAGTAAAATATAAACAAATAAGGAAATGAAAACTTTAAAATCATGCGTTAAGCTCTTTAAGTTAACAATTTCTGCCATCACCCCCTCCCCTCACCTATCCACCGAATACTGCTCTCTGCCTCATCGAAGGATTTAAAGGTCATCACCCGACGATATTTTTTGTAACTGACGTTGATACCCATGTCCATCAGAACTAAAATAGGGAGTAGGAATTGTAATGAGTAGTAAATGCGGCTCACTATCCTTCAAGTGAGTCGGCTCTGTGGCTAAGTCGATGAGAACGCTTCGCTTCGTAATGCCGGGATGCCGGGTTCGATCCCAGCTGCGGGCAATGCGCCTTGCGTTGGTTTCGACAGTGGTATCAAGAAAGCCGACCGTCTAGAAGCAATGGCAAACTACTAGACGTAAATTGCCTAGAAAAAAAAACCACACAACAGCCAGGGGCTGTAAGGGTTGGTTCTGCAACGTCCTGTAAAGGATACGTAACTAACTCATGCTTGAAGTACCAGTACAACTATTACCAACACCACAATAACTAAAATAATGTCACTGCTATCTGTTTTACCGTCGGAGTAGACAGGTAGTCGTGAGCCAGAGGATTTGGCGCCGCAAGGCTAACGCTAGTAAATATATTTTATAGACATATATCACCGTTTGGCAGACGTTTTTATAGATGCACATCCCCGTTGGTACATATTTATTTTAGATTAAGATCATTTTGCAGAAATCGTCATGATACACATGACCACTGGTAGATAATCATTATAGATATACATCACCTTGGGCACACATTTTTGTCGATACACATCACCATTGGTTGTTTTAGTAGATATGCGTCACCGTGGGCAGGCATTATTTAACATAAAAACACATCTCCATTGGTACATAGTTATTATACTTATATATCAATTGGGGGCTGCGTGGTCTCAAGGCAAGCCGTCCACCTCGAGTGCTGGAGGTCCCGGGGTCAGGCCCCAGTAAAGGCTGGAATTGTTTAACTTGGACTTCTAGTAATTTTCCCTAGTCTCTGGGCAGTAAGATTGGACGCCCGTGTGTATTGTTAAGCACGCAAAAAAAATCCCCTTTGGAAGTTGGAAATCAAACAGAGTAGCCTAACGGCGCTGCCCGGGCAAAATTTGGAGATAAAAATGTACCCAAAGTATTTCAGGATCCCCGCCGGTGCTACGGAATTCGTGCATTGCGCTGAGATTCTTCGGAGTCAGGATTGAGTAAGAAGAAGAACAGAGACTTTATGTGTTACTACCCTTGTGCCATGATGCTGATCCGTCGTTTAAACCCAAAACCTACAAACGCACAAAAAGCATAACCTTGGGCAGCCATTTTGTTTTAAACACATCACCATTGGTACATACTTTTTAATAGATTTACATTAGCATGGTCGCAGCATGCTTGGCTGAGCTGAATGGACCAGTTATTGTCCTCTAAAGAATTACCTGACGGGAAGCATGGTTGACCTCTGGCCAGGGTTTCCCAAGATGGGGATCTTCTCAAGCGGTTGCCAGATGTACATGCCTGGCTTGGGGATGAGCTCCCGCCACTCGTGGGCGCCTCGGTGAGGATCGTAGACGTTGTACGAGGGAGGTCTGACGCTGGAGAAGGGAGGGTGCACCCGGCGTTGTTTGAGTAGCGGATCTGCCAGACATTCGTGGACTACCGGCGGAGTCAGCTGCCAGATAAATCAGTTTTCAAACAATCAGGTACTTGTAGAGCTTATGAAATCCTCCATGCATCATCACCACCACCACCACAACCCTGACACCACCTCGTCTTTCTACACCTTCTCCCATTTTAACAGTCTTCTCCTTCTTTTCCTTTTTCTTGAAAGCGTAGAACGGTTCATTTACTTTTTTTTTTTTAAACTCTTTTCCTTTAACTCATCAAGGAGCAAAATCCATCACACAAATTGAACCTATCCTTTGGTAGAGATGGTCAGAGGTGAGTGGACTGAGTGACAGTCTTCTACCGGATGTGGTTCTTCTACCAGATGTGGCTCTTCTACCAGATGTAGTTCTTCTACCAGATGTGGTTCTTCTACCAGATGTAGTTCTTCTACCAGATGTGGTTCTTCTACCAGATGTGGTTCTTCTACCAGATGTAGTTCTTCTACCAGATGTGGCTCTTCTACCAGATGTAGTTCTTCTACCAGATGTAGTTCTTCTACCAGATGTAGTTCCTCTACCAGATGTGGCTCTTCTACCAGATGTAGTTCTTCTACCAGATGTGGCTCTTCTACCAGATGTAGTTCTTCTACCAGATGTGGTTCTTCTACCAGATGTAGTTCTTCTACCAGATGTGGCTCTTCTACCAGATGTAGTTCTTCTACCAGATGTGGCTCTTCTACCAGATGTAGTTCTTCTACCAGATGTGGCTCTTCTACCAGATGTAGTTCTTCTACCAGATGTGGCTCTTCTACCAGATGTAGTTCTTCTACCAGATGTGGCTCTTCTACCAGATGTAGCTCTTCTACCAGATGTAGTTCTTCTACCAGATGTAGTTCTTCTACCAGATGTAGTTCTTCTACCAGATGTGGCTCTTCTACCAGATGTAGTTCTTCTACCAGATGTGGCTCTTCTACCAGATGTAGTTCTTCTACCAGATGTGGTTCTTCTACCAGATGTAGTTCTTCTACCAGATGTGGCTCTTCTACCAGATGTAGTTCTTCTACCAGATGTGGCTCTTCTACCAGATGTAGTTCTTCTACCAGATGTGGCTCTTCTACCAGATGTAGTTTTTCTACCAGATGTGGCTCTTCTACCAGATGTAGTTCTTCTACCAGATGTGGCTCTTCTACCAGATGTAGTTCTTCTACCAGATGTGGCTCTTCTACCAGATGTAGTTCTTCTACCAGATGTGGTTCTTCTACCAGATGTAGTTCTTCTACCAGATGTGGCTCTTCTACCAGATGTAGTTCTTCTACCAGATGTGGCTCTTCTACCAGATGTAGTTCTTCTACCAGATGTGGTTCTTCTACCAGATGTAGTTCTTCTACCAGATGTGGCTCTTCTACCAGATGTAGTTCTTCTACCAGATGTGGCTCTTCTACCAGATGTGGCTCTTCTACCGGATGTGGCTCTTCTACCAGATGTAGTTCTTCTACCAGATGTGGCTCTTCTACCAGATGTAGTTCTTCTACCAGATGTGGTTCTTCTACCAGATGTAGTTCTTCTACCAGATGTAGTTCTTCTACCAGATGTGGCTCTTCTACCAGATGTGGTTCTTCTACCAGATGTAGTTCTTCTACCAGATGTGGCTCTTCTACCAGATGTGGCTCTTCTACCAGATGCAGTTCTTCTACCAGATGTGGCTCTTCTACCAGATGTGGTTCTTATACCAGATGTAGTTCTTCTACCAGATGTGGCTCTTCTACCGGATGTGGTTCTTCTACCAGATGTGGCGCTTCTACCAGATGTGGCTCTTCTACCAGATGTAGTTCTTCTACCAGATGTGGCTCTTCTACCAGATGTAGTTCTTCTACCAGATGTGGCTCTTCTACCGGATGTGGCTCTTCTACCTGATGTGGTTCTTCTACCAGATGTGGTTCTTCTACCAGATGTGGCTCTTCTACCGGATGTGGTTCTTCTACCAGATGTTGTTCTTCTACCGGATGTGGTTCTTCTACCAGATGTTGTTCTTCTACCGGATGTGGTAGTCGATTTCCAGCAAAGGCTCCTTGGTCACAATTTTGGCGACATGTACAATGTATAACAGAGTTACCACTCTTTGATCAGGTGAAACGTTAGTTGCTTCCCTTGACAAGACGTTGCAGAGCCAACCCAGGTCTTTTTGTTTTTTTTTAATCATTGTTAAGTTTGTTTGTGATTTTACGTTCAGTAGTTTGCCATTGCCACTGCTCAGTCGGCTCTCAATACCACTGTTCAAACTAATGCAATGGGGTCTGGTTCTAAATTAACCTCAACTGGGATCGAACCCAGCACCTATGTGTTACGAAGCGCGTTTGCCACACCTAAACCACAGACGCCCATTTTATTACATTAAAAGCCCCAATAACTGCCGGTTGCGTGTTTCATCTGGTAACAAGTAGTGCGGCCGTGGTAGCCATGCAGCGGTAGCGGTAGCGAAGGGTTTGTAGCGACGCAGCGGTAGCAGTAGTAAAGGAGTGGTAGCGGTAGCGAAGAAAGTTTGAGCTACCATACCTCTTCCGAGGTGCACGGTTTGAATCTTCACTGAAACGGATTTGGACTACAAATGGACATTAGGATAATTTCTAGAGCAGAGGCGTTCCATTTTGAACACATACTTTCATAAAAATATGGATCTGGCACCCAGAGATGCATAAAGAGCTGTGCGGATGGAGGGCCGGACCGGGCGTTATCACCGAGGGTGCGAGGATGCCCAAAATGGCAGATATTTATGGTTTTTTTCAGCAAAGCGTGTGTGTGTGTGTGGGGGGGGGGGGAGGGGTTAATTTTTCGCACCGGGTACAACCCGACCTTGCAATGATACTGCATACACCATCCCCGAGTCCAGGGCTGACGACATTTCTGTGGGGAATTACCAAATACTTTTAGACAATACATTCAATACTTTTAGAACACACCAACAATTACATTTTTTTTTAAATTAGAAAACCGTTAAAAAGTACTTAAAACACCATAAAACATACAAAAACACACCTCTCTCTCTCTCTCTCTCTCTCTCTCTCTCTCTCTCTCTCTCTCTCTCTCTCTCTCTCTCTCTATATCTAATATATATATATATATATATATATATATATATATATATATATATATATATATATATATATATAAAACTGGTTCACCTTAAATTTCATCAGAAATTACATTCTTCGCTCATTTTATCACTGCTGTATCACCCCCTCTCCGCCATAGTTTATTACTAAGCTGTTGTGGCAGCTTCCAGTGGTTGCAAATAACGTCATCTCTTCTATTCATTTATTGTTAAAGTCTTCAAACAAGGGCCAGTCTTATAAAAGGATAACTCTATTCTAGAAGCAAAGGATTGAGATGATGCGAAAAGATTCAGCACAGATTGACCCCCCCCCCCCACCCAACCCACTCCCCCCCCCCCCGATTTTTAGTTGGTTGATCTTACACTGGCAATTCTCTCGGTTCTTTAAATATTTGTTCATACTGTTCTTCTTTAACAATTCTGGGATATTACATGAGGAAATGGCATAACTGACGTCTGTCTTTCTTCATTATTGGATCCAACGTACAATACGAACATTTCAAATACTGATACAAAATTTCTGAAACGTACTAATACCTCGGATGTAGTACAAAAGCTGTTTTTTACAGAGTCAAACAATATCAAATTTGTACGAAAGCACCAACTTCGGCAGCCCTGTGCCCAAAACGAAAAGTGCCTGAAAATGAATAAGCAGTCAATAAATATATAGACTTAAGGGGAAATAATCAAATATTGGCTGAATCCAATATAGTGTTACCCACCTTGTAATATCTTGGCAAAAATTCAGGCCCGTATTTGAATGCGTACTCAGTGGTGTAGATGGCGTTAACGGCCTCCTGGTCAGTGGCTGTAGTTTTGTTCGCAAGCCTGGGATACTGCTTCTGGAACCTTCTAGTGGCCTCCTCGCTCGGAGGCGGTCCATGGAACTGCACTGTGAAGTACGGTTTCTTGTCAGCCAGGTTTCTTTGCCTGTGACAAAGCAGATCCGTTGTTAGAGATGTAAACAACCTATGGTCTATGGGTGACACTATTTATTTGTAAATTCTTCTTGTGGCTGTTGACACATAAGACATTCAAAACAATGTTTTTCCCTATTGAATCTTTAGAAAAAAGCGGACACAAACAATACATTACACAATTTATTGCCAGGCATGTTTCGCTGTATCTCGTTAGGTGCGTTACTAAATAAATCCAATTGAAATGCAAATAGTTTCTTTCGATGCTTCGTGGTTTGCCTTGTCGCCGGCACTCGCCGGAAGTTCACCGTAGTCACGTGACTTAGTAACTTCAAATTTACTAGAAATTCATCTGCTTACAAAGAAGGGGGTTGTTCTTTATCATTCTTAAAGCTTCGGCCATTCTTAGCAGTCGCCTGGTCGGTGAGAAGAAGAAGAAGTGGAAGAAGAAGGAGGGGGAGCTTATCTCAAAAAGAAATGTCATCTGTAAATTGGAGATGGCTTGGTCATGTTTGTGGCATTCGCAAGTATCTTCAATGCTGCCAATCTGCTGCTTTTCTGCCCGTGTCATTTTACATTTGTTCCTTTCCCAATTTATTGTCTTTCGGATTTCCGTCTGTCGTCAACGTGTCCTTACTTCATCTGTCATCCGGTATACCCGCCAGAGATTTACTAGGCTTTCTACAAACATGACCAAGCCAACTCCAACTTACAGGTGACACTACTGATTAAGATAACCATTTTTTTCTCTTCTCTTTCTCTTCTTCTTCTTCCTTTTTTTCGTCTTCATCATCATCTTCTGCTTTTTCTTTTTCATATTTTTCTTCTTCTTCTTCTTCTTCTTCTTCTTCTTCTTCTTCTTCTTCTTCTTCTTCTTCTTCTTCTTCTCACTGAAACAAAGCCCACACTGAAACAAAGCCCACACTGAAACAAAGCCCACACTGAAACAAAGCCCACATTGAAACAACATACTTGTCCAAGTCTTCTGCCCGTCTCTCGGCCCGGGCATCAGATGTACAAGGTATGGCGTTCCAGCCTAGATTCTGGGGCAGGCAGTAGACTTGGGAATTCATGTCGCACCGCCTCCGCTCTCAGATCCCACAGCTGTCCACTTGTATCTTCCTATAATGGAAATAAAATAACGGGTATTGATCGACACTCAAATAAGTCGATGAAATAGATACGGGTTTGACAACACAATAACTAACGTACATCTTAAAAGCTTTAGTAACAACATGTGTTTTCTTTTATTCTTCTTTTTTTTTCTCGTGTTCACCTAAACCCTGGCGGAAAGTTCTAATTGTTCGTCCACTTCTAGACTCTAGTTCAGTTCAGAGAACTTGAGTATTGCATGCACAGCCGTTTCACAGATTTGACTCATTTGCATGCAGACTGTTGGTTCCTTGCCTCTCAAGCTGATGTGCTCTGACTTCGAAGTAAGCTCCCAATTATTCGACTCCTACGTCACGCTTCTGGCTAAGCAGTGGCTCTGTTTTTGTTTTCCACTCAACAGAGCTCTGGAACCCACACAGATAATTTATCCTTCTCTTTTTTTTCCTTTTCCTTTTAATTTGCTCGCCCTTAAAAGGTCGATTGGTAAGCAGTGTCGGGTTGACAGCGAGGTTGCGATATCTGCCCCTTTCTGTCCAACACAGCTGATTTCGGCAACTCCTAATTAATCGCCTAATATGACATGCTTCCCGGCTCGCCAGCATAGTTGGTTAGACCTAACTTCGAGGCGACCGGGTGATGAACTCCGGGGATAGGCACAAAAGCCCATTTCTCCTAGATACCATCCATAGTACTAAGCCAAAGGGTTAACAACTCATGATTTCTGAACAATGACATGGTTGTTAGTGAGACAGTGGGTCTATTCCATCCCCACCCTAACCCCACCCCCACCCCCCCCCCCCCCTCACACATCCCAGTCGGATCCCGGAACCCAGACAGATACTTTAATACAAACTGCCTGACCAGACGCGCCGCGGGTCGGAAGGTCGTGGGTTAGCTCCCTGGCGGAGCCGGACTTGTCTTAAAAACTGACCTTGGCTCCTGTTGCGTGCTGATTTTGGAGAGTGTAATATTGTGTGAAGGGACAGAGTGGTACTGGTTCGAGATTGGGGGGGGGGGGGGGGGGGGAAAAGAGAAAGTGTGAATTACGTGACAGCGTGATTCTCATGTAACATCAGCCACCCACATTAGCGGGATCCTCAAGAACGCCCACATGAGCGTGAGTCTCGAGAACGCCCACAAGAGCGTGCCTCTCGTGTAAACATCAACCGCCCACATGAGTTCGATAGAGATAAATTAGTGCTGCGTAGACAGTCCGAGCAGTGAGCTGTAGCCACAGAGCTAAAGCACTGAGGAAGTGCGGCTGTGTACACACCCAGTTAGAGTAATGCTGAGAGTCCAGAGTCAGAGCAAGAGAGAGAGAGAGAGAGAGAGAGAGAGAGAGAGAGAGAGAGAGAGAGAGAGAGAGATAGAGAGAAAGAGAAAGAGAGAGAGAGAGAGAGAGAGAGAGAGAGAGAGAGAGAGAGACCAAGTCAGGGTCAGTTATTATCTCTCTCGAGTACAGCAGACAGAGTACCGTACAACTATCAGGCATCAAGGCCTGAGTAAGGGTTGAGGTTGCGGTACTGGTCGAAGGTATAGTCCCGCAGGCGAAGTAAGTCCAAGGGGACGGGATGCTCCAATAGTAACTGTTCTGTGTGACGACGCGAGGAGACGTAGGGTCACTACGGAAACAGAACAGTGAGGATGCCGACGAGAGCTGTGTGCTAGAGGGGACTTGTGTTAGAAGTCCTGTCGGTCATCGTAGCCCTTCGACAGGCTGACCAGAGCTGTGTGCTTTTGGGGTACGGTTAGGGAAGTCCGTCTCCAGTCAGCCGTGGCTGTCTGCTGAAATAATATCAAGGTCCAGTGGATAGGTGTATTCGTGTTATTCAGCAGTACGGCGAGCCCAGAGTTGTGGACGCTGTAGACCTTTGGAGCTGTAGTGGTCAAGGAGATAACTCGCTACAAGTTGAGAGAGAGCTAGTGAGGACTAAATGGACTATGTGTTAATGTCATTTGGGATCAATGTCTACGTCTCTGCAGTTTTGTTGATGTGAGGGCTTGTGTATACCCTATTGTGTTCTGTCAAATAAACCCAGTGTATGACGGAACTACTGTCGTCGAGTCCCGCTTCGAGAGCCTGGGGAGCGACAGTTATACCGTCTGGACACTTGGAGGTGTGCTAATTAGTGTGTACCTCAGATAGCACACAACAGCTCCCAGGTCGACCCAGCCTTGAGTGGGTACCGGGTGCAGTCCCAGGAAGTAGAGGCGGCCGGTGTGATGCTGACCACATCACCCATCTTGCTCCGTTGGTCTATAAAATATAGGTCTAGCCCTATATGCCCTATACGCCTAAATGCGTATATACGACGTAGATAATATATACACAGACCGACAAAAATGTGGAGTCGCCAACTTCAAAGAGAAGGCCAATCATCAATGTGAAAAGAGGCGGCAAATATCTGCAGCCGTGAACTTCAAGGGCGTGGAATGCCGGAAAAGAAGAAAAACGTCGTTAAGCATACCTCTAGTCAAGTGAATTTAACCAGCTTGCAGTTTCAATGGCCAAATGACTCTGCCATACACGGCGTTTCTTTCTACAAACACACCGTGTTGTTCTTGTGACAGTTAAAAAACTGGATTGTTGATGTATTTAGTCAACGAAACAATTCTAGCTGTAACCTGATGTCACCACACACAGCACACTGCACACCTCATGCAGCCGCTCATGTGCAAACAGTCTGCAGTTTTGACTAACTTTGTTTATGGTGTGCCCAAAGTATGTTTTAATTAAATTGTTTTGACAAATACTTGTCCAATTATTATACATTTCTTTCTTTCCGGTTTTTTAAAACACCAGAAATGATGTCATAATTATGACCGCATGAAATAATGACGGAATAATGTTCTTCGTTAGTCATGAGGTCTAATATAATAGATTGAAATGGCTTGGTCATATTGAGAGAATGTCAGATGATAAAAAGGTGAAAACTGTATACGCAAGGGAGATAAATGGTCGCAGACCACGGAGACGGTGTAATATCCAGACAGACCTGCAAACACTTGGTGTAACCAACTGGAAATTGATTGATTTGATTTGATTTGATTTGATTCAAGAACCGACATCACAGCACTCGGGGCATTCCCATAAGCCCTCCGTCCCCATCTTCAGCAGCCAACGAAGAGTTCCGATACCAATGGTGCCAGTAGCTTTATGATTAAACGTCCGTCTTGCCTTTGCTCTGAGCCTTGAGCTTCTGCCAGAACCTCTCGTCACCCCCAACTGCATCAATCTCACCAGACTGTGGTGATCCATCTGCTCCTCCGCATTGTACACGCTCTCCCACAAGGCACTAACCCCGTCTGCCCTATCATGCAGCAGTATTCCACCAAGTTGTGCAGATCCAGTCAGTCTGTCCGCCTGTTCATTTCCCAACACACCGGTGAACCCCCGTGAAAACAATCTAGACAATACTCCTCACTCGTGTCCTCCGCAGCGAAACATGCCACTCTGCACGAAGCATACCTGTTCTGATCTTCCTCAGCATGCTTTCTGAATCAGTTACAATTACAATGTGTGTGTGTGTGTCGTGTTCTCTAGCCAGCGGAAAGCTGCAGTGACCGCCTCCACCTCCATTCTTAAGCTGGATGTTGTGGTATCATATGCTAGGCTCTCCTGCGCCAAACCTCGACCATTAAATTTTGCTAAAAGTTTGCTAAAACTTTTCACCCCAACTGGAAAGAGAAGGCCAACAGTGTAGATGAGTGGAGGCGAGTGATATCTGCAGCAGTGAACCTCAAGAGCTTGCAATGCTAAAGAAGAATGTTGAATTCTGAATTAAGAAACGACATCACAGCACTCGGGACACCCCCGTAAGCACTCCGTTCTATCTTCAGCAGCAAATAAAAATACAATTTTGACGGGACCAGTAATTGTCTAATTGTACATCCGTCTCGCCCTTCCCTTGAGTGTTGAGCATCGGCCAAATTCCCTGGTAACTCCTCGCAGCGCCATTCTCCTCAGACCGTAATGATCTATTTGTGCTTCCGCACTGTTCACTCGCTCACAGAGGGCCCTCAAAACGTCTAACTTGTCATGCTGAAGAAGAAGAAGGCTTCTCAACTTTTGGCTAAGATCCAAGTGTAGCTCTGCTGCCCTGGGTCTGGCCAAGAGGACCGGGATCGTCACAACCAGTGTTGCCACTTTTCTTTGACAAAAAACATGAAAAACGGCGTCAAAAAAAATATCTAAAAACATCTACATTTTCGTGGAAAACATCTAGAAAAAAACATCCAAGTGAGAAGAGTCACAAATTACATATCAATTGATAAGACTTACCCTATAGAATCATGTCCTCATCTTTACTGAAGTCTGCCTTACAAGATCCATAAGATAAACTTAGCTTGGATGATGAAGTTGATGCTTCAGATCCAAAATGACTCTGGTATGCTTTAGCTGTTCCAATTTCTTTTAATACCCAATCAGGGAGCTGATAAGTGGAACAGCCTTTTCCTACTCTTATCAGGCCGAATTTTATTGTCAAGATAGCATTTAAGAGGTCAAATTTCATTCTGTTTCTTAGGTAAGATTTGATAAATTAACTCCAAATTAAAAAACATTTAGAAACCCATCTACCATCTAAACGTCAAAAACGTTGTCTAAATGCAAGGGGAAACATCTAAATCCGGATGTAAAACATCCAAAGTGGCAACACTGGTCAAATCAAGTCACTGGTAAAAACCTAAAAAAAAAAAAAAGAAGAAGAATCAATCAGGTGCATTTCAGCAATAGTTTGGCCACAATAGATCTCTCTCTCTCTCTCTCTCTCTCTCTCTCTCTCTCTCTCTCTCTCTCTCTCTCTCTCTCTCTCTTAGTTGCACAATCTCTCAGACAGCTGTTCGTCCATCCCTTGATGTTTCTTTCCTCTTATACCGCCGTCTTCTTCTTGTCTTTAACTTTTCCTCAGGTATGTTTTTTTTTAAAGAGTTAAATCTCTTTACATTTTGAAATATGTCA